ATGCTGGCCGCTGTCACGTGATCCTTCGCGATCCTCACAGCCTTTAATGCTTTGGCCTCGAGATTTAGCCTCGAGCGAAGCTCGAGAAACGGCCACGTGTTTACACACTTCATATCGTGAACTTTCTCCTCGCTGGCTACAAAGAACCTGGCTACAAAGAATCTTTCAAAGTAACTAATCACCATTAACGAGTATCCCGTTGCATACGGTTGCTGCAACCGAAACCGAGCTAATATGTATAACGAGAAGTATATTCGGTGATTAACGGAACGTCGAAACCTCTTCAAGTTCACCGAAACGCTTCAGTAGGGGATTGTTGAACGAGTGGCGCTGATACATCGGGAATAGCAACGACTACCAGTCGACTAGTTGGGTATCGCTCACTCGACGAAGAAAACAAAACGACTTCCCTGAAAGAAGGTACGTGGATGCTTGCGAAGGCATGGAGGTGGAGACGATACTAGACGAGGAGACGAAACGGGAGGAGTGAACGTGGAGGAGCTGAACACCCTAGGGTGCCGGCAGCTCGTTACGCGAGACGTGCTATAGCTCTCTTTCTTCCTTCTATTCTCCCTTCCTGGTCTTTCCTTCGCCACCCTATTCTTCCTTTCTCTCTGCTCCCTTTTCCCGTGATTCTCTCAAACCTTGATCCTTTTGCACATCTATCTCTATGCTCTTCCCGCGGTATTCCCTTCTTTCTCTCACTTCAGGTCCTACGTTTTCAAGGTAACGTCACTCTGAATAATGTCCCACGTACACGTTTGTATCCTCTCTATATGCACGTATCGCTACTCAGTAACAAGTGGATTTATGTTGGCGCGGCTGATGCCATTGCTACCCTGAAGCAACGTTGGCCTTGCTTAAGGGGATACCAACGTCGATGACGATACTGCTCGAACCGATAGCTTGTTGCCATTTCTTGCCAATCTTTCGTCTCTTTTTTAGTCACGAGCCGTGATTGTAGTCTTCATGTTACTATAATAACGTTTGGAAATATTGATATACCTTTTTTGTCATTTATTTGTTTCATTTATATGCTGCGTTTAGAATCGCATGGGCAGTTTGATAGTTTGGTTTATAGTTTGTTCTGTTTGATACCGTTTGTTCAATATCAAATCAAATTTATGTAATTTGCGAAAATTGAAGGAATATACAGCTCATCCTCGCCCGCAGCAATGAAACTGCATTTTGTATCATGTATAGGGTAACTGAAAACTACAACTATGAATGAATGTCTTAATGAAAGTTACATGGATAGGTGCTTCAAACTTCTTCGATGTAATAAACAATCCTCGCGAAAGTTTATCGAACAAAGCGCGGCGATAACAATTCGAGAGATATTTCACACTTAACTTCTCACACTTATCTACCAACATGAATTTAATACCAGCTTATCCTGAAACTTGCTGCATTGCACAAACCTTCCACTTCAAAATAACTTGACTCCACCAAAGCATTTCACATAACCATAAATAATTTCAATGCGAGATGCGCCGATACGTGAAGTACATGTAGAAAAATTCAACTTTAACTTTTACTTATTTAACGAGATATGGTGAGATATAGCTCGAAAGTGTTTTGTTTAGTTACTGTGACTATATTTTTTTATAATGTAATGATATTTATTTCAAATAAAAATGAAAATTCCTATGGCAATTCCATATCATTAGAATTGTCAGAACGATCCTTTTGTGCTTCTTTGCTTACGTGTGAGTTGCCTGCATTCAGAGGGGTAGACAGTAGGCCAAAGGAGAAATATAAAAAGCAGCACAACCGATAAGAAAAAAGACATTGAGGCGTTCTTGGAGGGCTCTGTAATGACTGTTGCTACTTTTCCGTCATGTCGGAAGCGCATTGCGCCGTTTCCGCTAGCCCGGAAGTACGGTAACAAAGCGCTTCCGGCACGAGGTCTCGAGGAGGTTGTTACAACGGACTATAGTGTAGGGACAGTCGGTGACATTTCAATGAACTTTGTGGCGTAGCCATTTTCTCTGTAAAGTTCATCAGGTTTAACATGTGTTTTGGGGGTTGACGAACTTCTCGGGCTAAATTTCTGCTTTCATCGAGGAATTAGATATGTATAATATCGTAACAGTGGTTACGGAACGTGAGGTAGAACAGCGATTCGAGTAAACGTCACTATCTTCTCCTTGGTACGGTGAACCACAAAAGAACAGGAGTTTATGTGTACCAAAATGCCATAGAACTGTTTGAAAAGCTTTGCTACACGTGCTGGCAGTATTTACATAATGAAGGTAATGCACGCAGTTCATAGAATATTCATAGGCTGATGAATTATTTTATGCGAAATATTCTATTAGTCTGTTGTAATTGCTAATTTTCATTACACCTTCAGATAGAATATTGTTTACCTAGTGGAATGAAATATAATAATTTCTTAACGTCTTCATACGAAACCAAAGTACTTTCGTATAATAATTCGGTAACTAACAATAATAGAGGATTATTATAAATTATAGTTTAGAGAATTCTTATAGACTTTTTTATCAAACTTGTTGTTATGTATTCGGCAGGCAACTAGTAAAATTTCACTAGTAATATTAGTTCAATTACATAAAAAGATTTGCTCTACAAGCATTTAACACGAAACTAGATACCCCTTTTTAGATTTTTCTTTTGAAATTGAAACGTCAGTGTCATATGAATCGAACTTGCAAGTCATTAGTTCCCTGACAGTTATCCAATGATTACACCCCCGACTACCATCAGTCAATTTTTCCAAACGAGACGTATCCTATGCGACTATCTTTATCAGCGTCGTTAAGCAGCAAAGGCCAATTACAAAAGGTGAATGTACAGTACAGACATCGCCCATAACTCAAACGTAGCTTTGAACGTTCTCGAATCTAGTTTAATGAAAGAACGTAAACCTACGCTTCAGGATTAAGGTTTCTAAGGGCCTGGGGGATACTACCGTCTAGCGTGGATTATCGTTACGCAGACGTAAGATTTTTCTACGCTTTATGTTCAACTTCGGTCTACTATCGGCAATTCCACGTTGAAATAAAAGGGAGTCGCTCTTTAAGAGTGGCTATACGATGACGTCTATTATAGCGTCGAGTTAACGCCGCGTGGATCGCGCCAGATATGCCATCTGTATCGTACGCGTGGTCCCGAGCTGGACTGCTGGCAAAGCTCCCAAAACTCGAAACGGAACGCGTGCATCCGTATTACTTTTTCGAACGAGGTTCGCGGAGAACCGTAGGAACACAGAGAGTGGGGCTAGGAAGGGGTCGAGGCCAGTGCAGCCATCGCCATTTTATGAAAATTGCACCGCCCGTTCCAACTGCCTCGAGCGTTCAGGCGAAATATGTTACTCCCATCTCGCGATTAATGGTCGCTATTTTATTTCGAATGCACGCGCCACTGAACGCGGATCGGTCGAGACTGCCACGTTCCAAGCTGATCATCCTTTTATACGCTGCTGTTGATTTTTTAGAACGAGCTTGCGTGTTATTACTAGTGTGTTTGCGATGGTGTTCCAGTGATAAAATGGTTAATGTAAGACTCTCACTATTCGTTCAGAGAAGTCCAGAAATGCGAAAGGGAACGATGTTGCTGTACGCATGTATATTCCAAAGTATTGTGGATATGCGTCATTAGATAAACATTTTTTTATAAATAATTGAATTTAGTTCGTATTGCACCAGAAACTAAAAATAGAAAAAATACATCACAAAATCATCTCTATATTCGCAAATAAGCTATCTTCAAATAGTAGAACAATTCCTTTCGAAGTGCAACCCAATTCCGTCTATCCGCTTCTATCGTGTAATAGCGTAAATTGAAGCAGCTGTTACATAGGCGAGTCTTCGCAACAGAAATAACAAAATTTTCATCGAGGCAATCCGTCCGATCGAACGTGCGGCTCGTTAATATCACGGGATACGTGATTACCGGTGACGGCGTTGAATCGTGATTTCCCGTTCGCGTCATAATTTATGCGCTTCCGGCTTTTGACGTTGAAATAAAATTGGAAGGCGACGTAGCGCTCACGTTCGTGCTATTTCTAACGAAAAGTGAAAAGAAAAACACCGACGGTGGCTAAAAAATAGCAGGAATGGAAGAAAAGAAAATAACAAAAATGAAAAAGATGTGGTCGTGATGCGATGAACGCCGAGCTGTCAGAGGATTCCTATTGAAAAGAGGCCGGCTCGAAACGTTAGAACGAGTTCGACTGACATCGAGCGAATAGCGGTGAAGGGGGATAGTTGCGGAGGGTGTCTGTTAGGGGTTAGAGTAGAGGGAAGGAGAGAAAAGGGTACAATTAAAATTAGCGCAATTCAGTCACTCGCCGGTAATTCGCGTGCCTGGCATTTATATTATTAAGCCGCGCAAATTTCTCTCGCTTCTCCTCTCATCCCCGTTCTTTCCTAGGCGCATGCGAATACACAAGCGTACATGCTCGATTCTGTCGACCCTGGTACGTGTAGAAATCTGCACGCGTGTATGCTCGCGCGTGGATGTGCTGGAATGTGTTGCACTCTGCCTCTTTCCCTTTTGATATCATCCCGTCCTCGTTTCACCGCCGCCATACGATTCAGACTTTCGCGGCGAGAGTTTCGGCCGTGACTAACAGTCCGGTAGACTGGGAAGAAAATAATTCTGGGTTTTGAAATGAATTACATCTAATTGCTCTTATTACGAGAACGAGAGAGCTTTATTATTCGCTCTTCAGTAGCGTTCCTTCTCTATCTTTCCTTCATCCGCCTGGATCTCTGTTCCTTCCTCTTTATCTCGGCCTTTGCAACCCCTTTCTACCACTCTTCCTACCACCGTCTTTCGTTAGTAGACCTTCAAAGCTCACGTCTGCCCCTTAGCTACTTCCTGTCCACCAGTCTGGCTTATCTTTTAGCACCTGACTTCTCGGTCAAAGAAGTTTTTCATGCGTGAAGGAAGTAAAGTTCGCGGCTGTGGCGAATGTGACGATTGTCATCTCGCGGATTTCGGGCTTTTGCGGTAAAGATAAAGTTTCTTACCTTTGGATGTGTTCTCCTAGGAAACGCTACCTTCGGATCGATCTGAAACGCAGATAAAGGAAATATATTAATGCATTGTCTGTCTGGTAATAATACTAATATACGATGCAAGTAGATGTCATAGAGTTAAGCGAAAGCTACAAAAAGTCATAATTTCTATCTTTACAAGAACTGAAAGATTCTTTTCTTTTCTTCATAATCATAAAAGTCAACAAAAATAGACTTATCATGTTCTTCTCAGAAAATCAAAATGTATACTTCCCATCGACAATATCAATTACTAACAAACCCATTCTTTCTTACGTAAACAAAAGGAAACCTCTCGAACCAAGCGAAGAAACTATTAGCAAAAGCTTCTTTGACAAAGCGCACCATGAAAGAAAAATTGCCAGGGATCGTTCGAAATCGCAGAACACGGAAACGGGCGTTGTAGAATAACAGCGGAAGGGAATGGGTAAACAGAGAATAACGGAGGAATTTCCGACGTAGGAAATGGAGCAAACGGAAACGGAGGAATTGGCGGTTTTCCCATCTGAAACTCCTATTACAATTAATTATCGGGTAATAAAAAGTGGGCACACGAATACCGTGAATAAAGAGCCGCGAAGGAGTTGCGGTAGGGGATCTCCGGTACAGGTGCATGTTGGTTAGTTGGAGCAACCGAACTCTCGGCTTTCTCGACTCTATCCTCCGCTTAGTTTCCTACGCTCGCCCTTGGAGACGTACAACCAGGTCGAATGTAACCGCACCTTACGTGGCTAAAAAGCAAAAGCCCATCCTCTTTGGTTCACTTGGATGGTTAGGGGATACCGGCGAAACTATGGAATTCCCAGTGCAGCCGCGACGTAAATTCTCGCCGCGAAATCGAGCCGCTCCAATGTTCGTTCCGGTTTCCCTTGTGACCTTACTTCGAACGTACACGCTGTGAACCTACGTGAAATCGTACGTGATCGTAAAGCCATCGTACGGGCGGCCAGTTATTCGCGAACTTCGAGTTTCAACTGCCAAAATTTTCGCAAAGTGTTTCGAGTGCGTGACCAAATCGAAGCGGCGATCGACGACTCGTCGTCATTCGAAGATCGCGTATTTTGACTACGTACCGCGCCGTAAACGCGATAGGAGGAGAACGCGCTGAATAATAATTCGCCAATGAACTGAAACGGTGTTTGGAAGAACGAGCTTGGAGAAGTTGAAGGATTTCAGATTTAGAATTCATGGGTTAACGTGGGAAACGGTTGAAGATATTGCCGGAATTTTTGGGTGCAGATACGTATATGTTCTTAAAGGACTTCTATCCAAAACGTTCATTCAATACAAACAATTATCTTTTACATCTTTTAACTTGCTGAATTAAGAACACTGTCATTTCCACAATATTTTTATGAATATGTATTAAAATCACTACTAGTAGTGTTATAAGTTATAGTGTAAAATACTCAATCTGTGATATTTCGAGAGAACTATATATTCCCCTGCATTCTCGATATTTATAATAAAATTCGATCGTTTCCTCTAAGTAATCAGTTTCGAAAACATGAACATCGTTTAAATAGAAAAGCATTTTTCACGTACATATTGGTGACTTACGTACACCGCCAATGACAGTTGGAGGTATAGATTTAACATTTAATTTCCGACCGATCGGGGCAAATGCTGAATCGACGACTTTTTATTAGAGTTTCTCGTCGCATTGCCAAATGTGGGTCAGTTTTTTTGTTTTTCTCCTCTGACTCAGGGAGCAGAGCTAGGAGATTTTTTATCGTCTGAAATCCTAGGTCGAATCCTAGACTTGAAAACATTTCCCCTATTTATTTAGCTTCCAGGGATTCCACCAAAGAGATTGAATGTGTTTTTGTCCTTCAAAAAACTCGCCGAACATTTCTTTTTCAATTGTACCGCGTATTTTCTTGTTCATACTCGAGACAACTTAATCTATATACGTAAGAAGAAGCAATATGGATGCACTGACAGGTTCTTCGATAGAGAAGCACGATCCGAAGGATGATTTATGATCACGCTTCGGTAGCGAATCGTTTGGGTTTCAATTTTTCACGAACATTTATCGGGATGAATTACCAGAAAATCCACCTACTTTCTACGTCTTACTCGAGGAATCTATTCAATTCGTTACGACAAAGACAGCCATAGTATCGAATAATCAGCGGTTTCAATAATAAATCCAGTGAAATGCCTTTCGACGTTACGACGCATCACTGTAATTAAGATGAATGTCTTGTGCATAATCTATAGTGTTAAAAGACATCTCATATTTCATACGTGTCTCTATAAATATAGAGATATAAGCATTGTTAAATATCTTGGAAAAATATCCTATATTTCTATACATAATTTAATTGAAGAATGAAAATTCTTCAAAATACTTAATAGCAATTGAATTTGATTAATAATTTCAGATTGGCATAATCTAGTGATCTCTATAATTATACTTGTAATGAACACGTCACTCTTATTTACAGAGAAATTTTAGAATTCAGTGCTTGTTTCAATAAAGTGTCTAAGTAAAATCAGGCATACGTAGGAATTGCAAATTGCAGTACTGCGTATGTCTTTAGTTCCAAGTTCCTATTTACTAAATAAGTATATATATATTTATTTATTTATTTATGTCTAAGTCAGAAAAGATTATTATTCATTTTACTATTTTAATCCCTATTACCTATAACCCCTTTAATCCCTATAACCTAATTCTTATATTACCAAAGCTTATATTAACAACTCATATTATCAAAGCTTAGTAACTTTTTCACTTCCTTACAACGTTAATAATTTTCTCCCTATATATTCATTCTATACACAACCGCAAATTATAACTTTTTCTCTGTGCTTCAAAAAGTCAATCACACTTTAGTCGGAGCACACATCTCGGAAAACAATTTTCTCGGAGAATTAATTTTAAACAACGATCGTGCTGCGTTCCCGAACTTTAGCTTCCTCGCGAGTGCTCCGCTCGCGATAGGTAAGAGAAAACGTAGCCGGGAGAGGTGGTGGAAGCCACGAACGTGGTAATGACAAGCAAGAAAGCCCGACTCTATCCACCGCCACCGCCGCCATCCACACCGACGACGTCGTTCCTCTCCTGTGTTTTCTCCCTTTCCTGTTCTCTGCTCCCGCGAACCACCCCGTTTGCATAATCCCCTACGGCAAAGTTCACACCGGTCGCTCGCACGCCCCCGGACGCCCTGGAGCACGTCAAGCGGCCCGACGTCGGCAACTACAACGACGAGGATGGAGAAAGTCTGTCGGTTTTCGTCTTACCCCGCCGTCGCTGCAACCACCGTCCCAGCGATTCTTCTCCTTTTGACCCGCCCTGTCGTTGAACAACTAGAAGAAGACGATGAGTTTTGCTAAAGAACTTTCTTACCGGGCCCTTTAGATTTCCGTCGCGATAGAATCTGTAGCTGAGTTATCGTACCTGCCAGAATCAACAATAAAATTAACCGTTTTGCGGGTGAACATTTTAAAAGTAACTCGTTAATCCTTGAAAGCCATAAAGGAGAAATATTTCTTTCGCGGAATACTGACGATAAATTTGTTTAATGTTTTAAAATCAATATAGCGATATTGATTTAAGAGCAGTGTAGGAGAAAAATTTGTTTTCGATAGGGAAATTGTAGCTAATCATTCTTTACAAATACACATTCTATGTGCTTAATAATTAAACAAAATAGCCTCTCCTACTATCTTATCTTCCTCTTCCTCCTTCCCCTAATTATAACGCCTCAGACTTACCTAGAATAAATAAGACACTTGTGCCACCCTCTCCATTCCCTTGAAATTTCACCACAATTATAGGACAAACAATATAGAGATTTGTCGTTAAGTGCAATCGTCTCGAAGGCTACAGCGTCGCGATTGAAATTTGTCACCGTCCAGCAAGTCATGGTCGAGAGAGGAGTCGATCAACGAAATTAGTTTCGACGTTCTGGTTATTCGATTCATTCCGTTCGATTCCCGGGCCGAGAGTATCGCTACGTAGAGCGGGACAAAGTCAAGAATCGTGCGCGAGATAGAATCGTTCGAAAGTAAAGGATAGAAGAAATGAGAGAACGAAGGGAGGTATTACGGAGAAAAATCGAGAGGCTCGAAGCCATTCTCGCAAACATAACCCGGTTATCCGATATCGCGCGAAATGATCGGCCGCCAACTATCGACGACGACAGGGCTGCCGCCAAAGAAGACGACGTCGAACGACAACGACGATAGAAATTCAATCTGGATGGCACGCCTGGAAATTGGGAGAGCCACCTATTCTCCAACGATCCGACCGATTCTAGGATACTTTGCTACGACGTAAAAGCTCAAAGCTCGTATCGGCCACAGTTGGAAAAGTAATCGAGGAGAACGGAGCTCTTTTCGTCCCTCTCGCATGGTTTTCACATTCTCTCGCGAACGGAAGCTCCGTCGTCTCGTCGCTCGAGAAACCCGACGCTCCCGAGCTGCATCCACCGGGATAATACGAACGAGAAATTTCACACGCGAGTTCGCGGTAATTCCGGCGGAATTCAAACGCCAGACCCCGGCCACGTCGGTTAAATTGTTGCTCGAGCTACGTAAGTTCTCAGATTGCCGGGAGAGGAGGATACACGCGCACGGAGCCACGCGAACGTGAGTGTTATTAAACTTTAAATTATGAACGCAACGGGCGGAACAATTAAAAACGCGTGGCGTTAGCGGGCACAAGGCTTCACGGCCACGGATCCCGAGAGTGGTAATCAAGAATTATGGTCCCCGTTGATGTTGCCCCGTTATCAAACTGGATTTCTATGAACGGTGTATCGTAAAGGGGCGTGAATAGCAAATGAATCTGCAAACTTTCACGATAAATATTCCGTGTCCGCGCTGCGCTTTATAGCTGATCAGAATGCAAATGGATTTTGGAAACTAGACTGCGTCGTCGCGTTATTTAACGGGACTACTGTATAACCATTTCTCTATACGGCGATTAATTATTTCGCATTTACGGATGTTCTTTCTTAATTCGCATTCTACGTACTTACAGAGAAAGATAGGATTATTTGGAT